TCCTTCTTCCTAGTCTGTCTTAATCTGAATGTTCAGATTTAGAGGAGTATCTGACAGACAAGCAATTTGTTGAGCAGTGAAAGATAAATCCCTTATTGTGGAGTTAAGCATTAGTTACAGTGTTGACCCCACCCTTAGCCCAGTGCCTTGACCCACTTACTGCCCAGCTCTACCCTCCACCAGGATAACCCTTCCCGTCTGCCAAGTCCCTTCAGAAAATATCTTCCATTGTCCAACCCATGATCTGACAGCTTGTATCTTAAGCTTTCTTGGCTTCTGTGATTCCAGACACGTCGACTGCTGACATTTCTTCCTTTTGACCAGTGTCTCTTAAGTTTAGTTGTACTGTCTCCAAGGGAAGGTGACGTGTCCTGTAGAACTTAAAGGTAATTAATATCAAGAGGGAGAAGTTGAATTGAGGTATGTTTTGCTGTTTGTATTTTCAGTAACCATAACATTTTTAAAAAGAGGTGCCATCGAATCAGGTATAACCTATAGTGACCCTATGAATAAAAGATTGGAACCCTGTCCTATCCTGTGCCATTCTCACACTTAGAGCCCATTGCAGCAGTCACTGTTTCAATCTTGGTCAAGTGTTTTCCTCACCTTCACCAACCCTCAACCTTTCCAAGCATTGTGTCTCTCTCCAAGGAATAGCCCCTCCTAGCAACATGCCCAAAGTATGTTTGCAAAGCCTCATCATCATTGGCTGTACCCTCTCTAAGACATATTTGTTTGTTCTTTTTCCATCCTTGCGATGTTCAGCGCTCTTCACCACCACCACAGCTCAAAGGCATCAATTCTTCTTGTCATCTTTATTCATTGTTCAGCTCTTAAATGCATAACAAGTGATCAGAAAGACCATGGCTTGGATCAGATGTACATTAGTCCTCAAACTGACATCATTTGGAGAAGTCCCTCACTGAAGACTTTCCCAGTGCATTATGTCTCCTGATCTCCTAACTGCTGGTACCAAGTGTGTTAATTGTGGATCCAGGTAAGATGAAGTCATTGACAGTTTCAATATTTGCTCCATCTATCATGAGGTTGTCTATAGGTCCAATGGTTAGAATCTTTGTTTTCTTGACATTGAGATGCAATCCATATTGAAGGCTGCATTCCTTGTTCTTCTTACAACAAGTGCTTCAAGTCTTCCTTACTTTGAGCAAGCAAAGTAAGTGGTGCATGTGTAAGTAAGTGCATGTGGTGTCACATGCATATTGAAGGTTATTAAAGAGTCTCCCTCCTATCCTGATGCCACATTCCTCTTCATAGAGTCCAGCTTCTTGAATAATTTCTTGGCATACAGATTGAATAGATACGAAGAGAGAATACAACCCTGATGCACTCCCTTCTCAATTTTAAACCATGTAATAGTGTTCCCTTACTCTATTTGCACAACAGCCCAGATAGAGGTTTCCTGTGAGCACAGTTAAGTACTCTGGGATTTTCATTCTTCTCAATGTTAGCCATAATCTTTTATGATCTGTACAGTCAAATGTCTTTATGTTGTGGTGTTTTTTTTCTTTTGGTATTCTTCACTTTGAACCAGGATCCATCTGATGTCAGCAGTAACATCCTTGGTGCCACAGCCTCTTCTAAATCTTGTTTGACTTTCTGGCAGTTCCCTATGTATATACTGTTCTAGCTGGTTTTGTTTTTTGTTTTGTTTTGTTTTGGTTGTTTGGTGTTTTTTTGTTTGTTTGTTTTTCATAATCTTCAGCAGTATTTTACTTGCATGTGATGTCAATGATATTGTTTGATTGTCTCCAAATCATATTGAATCACCTTTGTGGGGAATGAGAACAAATATGGACCTCTTCCAATCTATTGGCCAGACAATTCTCCTCCAAATCTCCTAGCATAGACTGGTGAGCGCATCCATGGCTGCTTCTGTTAATTGAAACAAGTAATTGGTATCCCATCGAATCTTGGGGCCTTGTTTTTTGCCAATGCCGTCAATACAGCTTCCACTTCCTCTTTCATTACCATTGACTCCTGATTATATGTTACTTCCTGAAATTTTTCAATGTCCGTTTTGAGGTTTTTTTGGTACATTGATTCTGTGTGTTCCTCCATCTTCTTTAGATGCTTCCTAGGTCATTCAATATATTGCCCATGGCATCTTCTACGATTTTGACACAAGGCTTAAATTTGTTTTTCAGTTCTCTCAGCTTGAAAAATGCAGAGCATGTTCTTCCCTTTTTATTCTCCAATTCCAGCTTTCTGCACATTCCGTTATAATACTTTGCATTGTCCTCTCAAGCTGTCTGTCTTTTGAAATCTTCTGTTCAGCTCTTTCACTTTGGCATGTTTTCCCTTTGTTTTGGCTTCTAGATCCTCTAGTGAAATTTTCAGAATCTCTTCTGACTTCCATTTCATTTTTTCTTTCTCCTCTTTGTAATGACCTTTACTTTCTTCGTGGATGATAATCCTTGAAAAACACTTTAGGAGTTGGATAATAGCCAAAACAGAAGAGACTGACAAGGATATATGGAGAGTTTTTCAGTAGTGTATGCCAATTTAAGTTATTCAAGATCATGTTACATGAGAAGTTTTAATATATTTCTTAACAAATTATGCGAAGTAAAGTAACTTTTCTCTCAAACTTTCAGTATTATTTACCAGGGACAATTAATACATACTAAATTAAAGGAGCCGTGGTGGAACCAACGTTAAAGCATTCTGTTCCTAACAGATTGATAATGAGAACCCAACCCTTATGTCTGTGGAAAAGAAGGCGTAATAGTATCCCCCTGAAAATAGTAGAGTGGAGAAAACCGTGTGGAGCTATTTGACTCCATCGCTTGGTCTGTGAGTCAAAGTAAATGCAGTGACATTTAAGAATGTACTTATCTTGGAGGCCAAAATAATATTTGTTAAATTATGACCCAATTGCTCAATCAAATCTGACCTGTAAAATGTTTTTAAAATCATTTTTTCTTTAGTGTATCTGACACAGAGTCTCTAGAGAAATATAAGGCAATTGTCTTTACAAGTGGAAATTTTAAAAAAAAAAACCAAAACAGAAACACACACTAGAACCCCAGTGCTCATTTTATTGGGTTTTGGTTTGGTTTGGGTTTCTCCCTCCTTGCATAAGAAATTGTGTGGAATGGTGATTGCCTTACAGGATGAGTAGAATGGAGAGGGGAGAAGGTAATTATGTAATACGTTGTGTTCTTTTCTGCTCTATCCAGATCAGGTCCTGTGCTGAAAGAGAAACCAAGAAAAAAGATGACATTCCAGAAGAAGATAAAGGCAATATTAAGCAATGTGAAATCAATTATGTGTATGTATTCTTTTTTCAGACCTACAGGTTTGTCTGACAAAGTGCTTGTTTCTCAAGGAGCTTTTAGCTCCCTCCTAGGACAGAGCACTGAGCCGAGTGCTCGCCTTTTCTCAGGACTTTAGTGTCTCTGACTAAGCTGTTAGATCTCAAAGCCATTAAGTGCCTTACTCATTTCTCCTTTCATTGACTTAATCAGGTTATTAATGTGACAAATGATGTTGTAAGTCTGAACACAGGGAACTTAAGCCAACATTTCCTGGTAGAATTGAGGCGTATAGAGTTAATCAAGCAATCACCCTACTGAGTGAGGGTGAGGCCATGAATCATTTTCTGTATTGGATAAGCTAAAGGTTATTCAACAAATGCAACTAGACTTTTAAAAAAGTTATAAAAATTTTAACAACATCTGTAAGTTCATCAGTAAACATGCATGAGCAGAGTTTGAGATATTTTTTACACATTTTCTTAACAGAAAGAAATTTCAGAGCTTCCAAGACCACAAACTTAAAATAAGTAAAGAAGACAATAAAATTCTTAAAAAGGCTCGGAAAGATGGATTTTTGCATGAGACACTTCTGGACAGGTAAGTATATTTTTATTACTGCCACCTGTTTCCAGTATCCCGCATATATAGTATGTCCCTAACCAATATTCTCTTTTAAATTACTTAAGGTTTCTTTAATCTATGGTCCTTATTTGGGAATATGGTAATATAATCTAGGAAGCACAGAATATACTGGCAGTAAGAAAAAATCAAGAAAGACTATCTTGAAATTATAGCCAGATTCTAAATGTTTTATCCTAAGAAATTCTGGTTTGACTAAAATTATTTTACAAATCAATTAACCGTCATCTTTTTTATAATTGTTATAACCAAGCTTAGGTAGAAGTTGTTTGACTGATATCATACCATACTGAATTCTAAAAGAGTACCCTGGGTTCCTAATAATGAAATTAAAAATAAGCCATCTTAAAAAGTTACTGGATATAAAAGTTAAAAGAATTAAACCTGAAGCAGTTTTATTAACTTGAATTTAGCAGTGTATAGGCTATATATTTACATATTTCCCTCACTATCCAAAAGTAAACCTTTCATAAACCAGTATGGCAGAAAGGAAGGAAGCAATTCCCATGAATTTATGTGAGAAAAATTTTTTAGTGTCTCTGACTCAAAAATAAGGCCTACAAAATAATACCTACAGGCTAAAATTAAACACTGTTTATTACTAAATACTAAACTAGAGTGTTTACAGACACAGTTGAAAGCTGTGGTGGCTTGATGCCGAACTGCTAAATGTTCCGGGGAATGGAAGGAGCTTGGTGACCTCACTCACACTGCTCAGTGTGCACTGCCTTTTTAATGGCTCACTACAAAATAAAAGTTGAGCATTAGTTTTACTTTTCAACCTCCTAAAAGTGAAGTCTTTTTTGGCTTACTTTTAGTTAGGGAAAACAAATGTTTCTTCAAAGTACGGTGGGATAACTTCTTAACTTGGGAAAATACAACACTACCAGCCTAACAGAACTTTGTTATTCTTGTTGTATGCTATAGAGTTGGAACCAACCCAGAGCTGACCCTGAAGTAGGATTTCAGGGAGAGTAAATCTCAGGAGAGATTGCCCTGCTTAGATTCAAACCATGTACCTTTGCATTGGCAGTGCAATTCCTTACCATTAAACACTTAAATTCAGAAGAGGCAACTGAAATTACTGTTAACACTGAAAAGGCTGTTTAGACAATGTTTGTTAAGTATCAGAGAGACTTTCATAACAGAATCCATTTTCTGTTAAACCTAAAACTTGAACACTAATGTTTGAGTAAATATTTTGCAGTAATATAACCAAAATTGACCCCATAATTTCTAAGCCTGAGTCTTATATTTAACACAGTTTTTTGGCTGTGATATAAATATTAACAATGTATGGCATGATTTGCATAATTAATGTTCTTTGCTATTTCTGTGTTCAAACAGGAGAGCCAAATTGAAAGCTGACCGATACTGCAAATGACCAAGATTTCTGTTTCTGTCTTACCCAGTTGTGGTTGTTTTTCGAATAAAATACTCAGTAGAACTTCTTTTGTGCAATACTTAGTGTATAAAGATACTATGATTGAACTTAAACTATTTAGTAGTTTAAGCAAGATTAACCAGCAAGATTAAGGTTCCTGAAAAATGGTTTTTTCAATGAATTACAGCATTTCACATGGAAATGAATTTAGAATATACACTTAGAAGTATCACAGATTTTGTGTGTGTGGATTTTCATTCATAAAATATGAGGATGCTACTCAATGACATGTTTTCTATATGGCTATTAACTCTCTCTTAATTACAGCCATCCTTTATAAAATGTGATGTAGTAAATACTTAATTAGTACCTTTAAAATGAAAGTTAGACACTCCCAATCCAGTCAATCAACACAACTTCATGATCCCTTTTAGAAATTGGCCAAATCATAGACAAGCCAAACAAGAGGGCTGGACAAAGGAAAAATAAAATCAAGTATTAATATAGTCATTAGAAACTAGAAACATCACCAAAGAGCTCTGAACAGAGGATGGAAAGAATAAAATGGGAGATTCCCTAAGTAGGAGAGTTTAACCACAGTGGATTTCCTCTTTCAAACCACAATTTTCATCTGCATGTGTGGGATAATAGGAACTTGACTGTTAAAGAGCTTCAGATGCTGTTTGTTACTGAGGTATGCATGCTGAGGCAGTCTTATTCTACTTGTTTCTGAGTTACAGTGTCATCCAGCCCAATTCCAGGATCCAGGTTAAGTGTCAGACTCATTTGTATGCATATCACACTGGAAATTCTGATGCATGACTGAGGAGACTCAAGCACCTCTAACGTTTGAGGACCTCAAACTTAATTCAGGTACACAGTCAGGATTGAGGCCTGGCTGCCAGACCCTGTCTCATTCTCAGCTCTTACATTCCATCCTTCATGACATGTAGAGTTCCATGACCACGCTACTAGCAAGGTAGTTATGTTGTTATGTGCCATCAAGTCGCTTGCAATTTATAGCATCCCTTTGCACAACAGCCCTAAACCGTACTCTGTCCTGTCTCAGTCTTACTGTCTCTGACACACCCACCCCAATTCCCCCAGTCACTGAATCAATACACCTCATAGAGGGTCTTCCCCTCCTGTGCCGTCCCTCCACCCTCCCAAACATGCAAGCAAGGTAGTTAAGCTAATAAAAATGGAGCCCTGTGCTTTCATTCTGGTTCTTCGAATGGAGGCATGCTTACTACCACTCTGCTCCCCAAAGCAGGTTCTCAGCCTGGCTGTTACATTTGACTATGTCTGAAACATTTTTTGGTTACTACAACTGGGATATGATACTGCTATTACATCTAAAGGATACAAGTTAAGAACACTGCTGAGTGTTCCTGTCACACACCAGACAGCCCTACAGCAAAGAATTATCTGGCCAAAAATATCAATAGTGCCAAGTTTGTGAAGTAAGTCTGAAGGCTTATTCTGTTGCTTGTTTTTTCTGGTTTCCTCATTCTGCAAAATGGTAGTTAATATATGTAAGACTTAACCATGCAGTGTTCCCCAGCTCCGTTTACACAACAACCTCCTTCCTGGTCCAGGTACAGGTTATGCATGAACACAAGTGCTCTGGGACTCCCATTCTTCTCACTGTCAGCTACATGGTCAAATGCCTTTGTAAAATCAATAAAGCACAAATTGACATTCGATTTGTAGTGCTGGGAAAGAGTCTTAAACATACCGTGGGCTGTCAAGCAAACCAAGGAGGGGTGAAACCAAGTTTCTCCTTGGAGGCTAGGATCTCTGTTTCATATACTTTGGGCACGTGGCCAAGAGGAACTGGTCCGTGGAGAAGGACATCATGCTCAGAAGAGTAGAGGAACAGCGCAGGAGAGGAAGACCCCCCCCTGATAAGATGGTTATAGTAACAGGGGCAGTGGGGATTGGTGTGTTAGAATCAGTAAGACTGGCTCAGGACAGGGAAAACTTCAGAGCTGCTGTACATAGGGTCGCTATGGGTTGCAGGCAACTCGAAAGCAATTAACAAAAATTCTTAACATCAAAACATGGTGACTCAAAATTTTATCCTCAAGTTTTTACAGTAACTGGGCAATGAGGGTTGGTGTGTTGGAGTCAGTGAGACTGGCTCAGGACAGTGCAAGCTTCAGAGCTGCTGTACGTAGGGTTGATGGCACATAACAACTACAATGAGCATGTTATTAGAAGGGCTATTCCTTGGAAAGGAGCATGCTACTGGGAAGGATAGAGGGTCAACTAAGGAGAGGAAGACCCTCAACCAGGTGGACTGACATGGTGGCTGCATCAGTGGGCTCTTGATCTCCGGTCAACATCCCTTGAAACAGCAATGGATGTAGTAAAACAGTGTACAACATTGAGTAAATCTGCCACCATGGACCTCTTTTAAAGTGCAAGGATGTCACTTGGAGACTTAGGATGTGTTTGACCCAAATTCTCATCTTTTTTAGTGACCTCATATGAGTAAGAAAGTTAAACAGTGAATAAGGAAGACCAAAAGAATGCCATTTTAGTTGTGTTCAGTATTGAATATACCATGGACTACTAAAAGAACAAACCTATGTTGGATGAAGTGCAGCCAGAATACCCCTTAGCAGCAAATGTGAGACTTCGATTCCTTGGGCATTTTATCACAAGAGGCCATTCTCCAGAGAAAGATACCAGGCTTGGAAAAGTAGAGGCTCATCAGTGGAATACTACACAGCAAGCAGGAGCAAATGATTTTGTAATTTACAACCTTAACCTGGTAGAGACTGGAGCACATTAGGCTAAGATAACTCAGTCCCATAAGGACAAATAATGTAGAAAGCCATTACTGTAGAATGAGTATGAGGATCCAAAGTGTGGAAAGGGGCAGCTGAGGAGTAAGGATGAGGGCAGTTAATCATGTTATTATTTGCCGTCGAGTTGCTTGTGACTCATGGTGACCCAATGTACAACAGCCCTAAACCCTGCTCTATCCTGTGCCAACCTGTCTCTGACATACCTACCCCCATTACCTTAAAGACTAAATCAATCCATCTCATCAAGGATCTTCCTCTCCTGTGCTGTCCCTCCACCCTCCCAAACATGATGTCCCTCTCCAAGGACTAGTCCCTGCTTGTAGCATATCCAGAGTATGTCAGACGAAGCTTCAGAATCCTTGCCTCCAAGGAGCAGTCCCGTTTTACCCTCTCTAGGATAAACCTGTTTGTTCTCCTAGCAGTCCATGGTGTATTCAACACTTCTCCAGAACCACAGCTCAAAGGCATCAATTCTCCTTCTCTCATACTTAGTCATTGTCCAGCTCTCGACGCATAGCAAGCAATTGTAAAGACTATTTCTTCAGTACTCTGGAGAGGTCTCTGACAGCCAGTTTTCCCAATGCAAGTCGTCTCTTGATTTCCTGGCTGCTGGTACCAACAGTGTTGATTGTAGAGTCAAGCAAACTAAAACTTGACAAACTCAATCTCTTCACCACCTGTAATGATGCTGCCAATTGGCCCAATGGTGGGAATCTGTTTTCTTGATGTTGAGCTTCAATCCGTATTGAAGGCTAAAGTCCTTCATCTGCAGCAAATGCTTCAGGTCCTCCTCAGTTTCAGCAAGCAGAGTAGTGTCATCTGCATAATGCAGGTGGTTGTTGAATCTTCCCTACAGTCCTGGTGCCATATTCCTCCTCATTAAGCCCAGCCTCCCATATAATCTGTTCTGCATACAGATTGAAAAGATAGAATACATCCCTGGCATACACACATCCCAATTTTGAACCATACAGTGTCTTTTTGCTCTGTTCTGACTACTGCTTCCTGATCCAAGTATAGGTTTTGCATAAGCACAATCAAATGTTCTGGGATTCCCATTCTTAGAGTCAGCCACAGTTTGTTGTGATCCACACAGTCAAACACCTTTGCATAGTCAATAAAACACGGACATTCCTCTGGTATTCTCTGCTTTCAGCCATGATCCATTTAACATTAGCTATAATATCGGTGGGAGGCTATCAATATCTTTCATGAAGAATGCAAAAGGTCATTACAAAGGCAGAAGAGGAAGAAAAGACCAAGATGGATGTCAGATGAGACTCTAAATATTGTGTTGGAGTGCCAAGAAACCAAAGCTAAAGGAAGAAATTAAGGAGCTGAACAGAAGATTTCAAAGGGCAGCTCAGGAAGACAAAGCAAAGTGTTATAATGAAATGTGCAAAAAGCTCGAGTCAGAAAATCAAAAGGGCCGAACTTGCTCAGCATTTTTTAAACTCAAAGAATTGAAAAACAAATTCAAGCCATGAGTGGCAATACTTAAGGATGCTTTGAGCAGAATATTAAATGATCCAAGAAGCATTAAAAGAAGACAGGAGTATGCAGAGTCATTGAACCAAATGGAATTGGCTGACTCAAAAGAATTTCATGAAACAACTTCCTGTGGTGATGAAGGAAGAACTTCAAGCTGCGCTGAAAGAATTGGTAAAAAACAAGGCTTCAGGACTAGACAGCATACCAATTGCCATATCTCAACAGATGCTGCCCTGGATGTGCTCTACAATTTGTGGCAAGAAATCTGGAGGACAGCCACCTGGCCAACTGACTGGAAGAGATCAATATTTGTTCCAATTCCAAAGAAAGGTGACCCAGCAGTGTGGAAATTATTGAACAATATCATTAATATAACATGCAAATGAGATTCTGCTGAAAATTATCCAAAAATGACTGATCAGCATATCAACAGAGAACTGCAAGGGGTGCAGGCTGGGTTTAGAAGAGGATATTATAGCTAATATTAGATGGTCATAGGGTCACACAGTTTGATGTGGGGAGTTGAAAGAAATGAGAAAGATCCAGTGTGAAAAACAATGTATGCTAACTTTGTGAATAAACTAGTATTTTTTTTTGTTGCAAAACAAATTGTTAGATTATTTAATTTACCTCTTTGCAAAGGAAGAGTCCTACTCTGTTGTTTGGTGTGTCACGTCAACCACGACTCACTGT